TTCCATTAGTGGTATTCAAACCATAATGGTGTATTTATATATAATTAGTAGGATTTGAGAGAAAAATTACTTAATGAGGTAATGAAATTGATTAACACCCTTTATGCACTGACAGGCCTAAGATTAATATTCCAACATTTATAAATCAACGGTTTTATATTTACAGAAGAGGGGTCAATGAAGGAAGAATTAGAAAATACAGTCATGTAATATAATGAAATAATAGGCTTTAAGAAAAATTAATACAGCAGAGAGGCACTTACACTTTTGCTATGTGATCATTTAGCCGCTTTTAATTATTCTTTTAACTCATTCGGCCCTTCAACGATCAGTTTCATAACACTCAACCACTAGTACTACTCTGAACAACTGATAATCAATGCAATGGCTATCTAATACACTAACACGTGTTATTTGGTGCAAGCATTTCCCTTCACTATTAGGAATAGGGGTGTTCATAAAAACCCGAAAAATCGAACCAAACCGAAAACCAAATCAAATCGATCAAAAAAACCGATACGTTTTGCTTTGGTTTGGTTTTGGTTTTGAATTTTAAAAACCGATCAAATTTGGTTTGGGTATGGTTTAATCAGAAAAAAAACGAAAAAAATCGAACCAAACCGACTATAAGAGTAGCTATTTCAAATTTATTATTACACCTATATATATATGTATATTTTTATACAAAGTTTAAAAAATTTAATCGTAAATGTTAATAGTTTGCACTTTTAGTATAGTTCTTTACCTTTACATTCTAGTTTGATTGGTAGTTTTCTTTTGTTAAGTGTAAGAATCCATTTCGTGTTAAAAATAATATATTTTTAATTGAGTCCTTAAATTATTCATCACTATTTGATTCAATTATCATCAATATATTTTTTGGTAAATAATAGATTTCTCAAAGGGCAACTAATTTGATAGTGTTACGTTGAAAATGTGGTCGTCGGAATATGTGTTTGGTAGTGTATGTCTTATATTTAAGAAAAACCCGACAAATAACCAAAAAAACCGAAAAATTGACAAAACCCGACATAAACCGAATCGAGAAAAAATCGACTTAATTGGTTTGGTTAGGTTCTAATATTTGAAAAACCGACTTACTTGATTTGGTTTCTTTTTAGAGAAAAACCAATCCAAACCGAACCATGAACACCCCTAATTAGGAAGATTAGCTTTTACAGGCCTTACATCATCACTAAGATTTTGCTTTTCCGTATTGAATTCGTTATATATTTAAAATTATGGTCATATAAACTATTTTTTGTAATTTTAATAAATTAATTTATATATATGCTTCAAAAATATTAAATTCAAATGAACCCAATATTCTCAAGACTACATCCCCCTGCCTCTATGGGATTGATTAATGGTAGTGGATTGAATTGTTGATTACAACTTGCCATACATTTCTTCAGTATCATCTGATACATATGCTGTTGGCAGAAATTTAAATCTCAGAGCTGAAACATACTAATATAGGGAAACTTACACAAATGTCCCATATAAATCTCAACTTACCAACCTCTAGTCATTAGTCATAGACTTACCAAAACTAGCCAACAAAAATTGAAAAACCAAATAATAGGGTTCTTTCTCTCAAAGAATCACATGCAAAAATCACCTTCCATATTTTTAAGTGTGATTAGCAACATTAGATACAAGACGGAAAAGAAATTTCATGGACGAGGTAGCAAATAAGGTGATGAAATACAAAAATCTATACAAATATTCCAAAAATCTAAACAAAAAAGGAACTTTTTCAATGGGTATAGTTGAAATTCATTGAAAATATATAGATAAGTCAATATACAAAATTTGAGGAAGATTGGAGGTGATTTGGAGTGGTCTTGTATCAAAATTCATAATTAAATCGAGTTCAAAAAAGTCTTCTGCGACACATGTATCAAACATGTATCACGCATGTATCTCACACACAGGTATACATGGATATACATGTGATACACAATTAATACAAATATGATACATATGTGATACACAAATGATACACATATCATTTTTTTTCATGTTCAGCTTTTATTTCGAATTTTCAATTCAAACCACCTCAAAACTTCACCAAATCATCCTAAAACTGAGATTCAAGCTCCTTAAGTTGTGCCCAATCTATTTTAATAACACCCACTCAAAACAAAGCAAAAATTTGATATTTTTTTGCTACAAATAGCTAATTGGCTAATTTGGCTAATATTAGTAATATTTTATCAATTGGCCAATTTTTGTAATGAGCTACCTATAAATGGACATAGCTGGTAATTTCCCGCTAATTATATCACTAAGGGGCCGAGTATAGAGGGAAAGATGAGATTTTTAACTTTACGTCAAAAGTTTTGGGCTCGAACCCAAAAATTTATGGGATCTGTCCACTCTTAACTATTTTGGTCTCGCGTTCGAGTTTTATACATAGAGGAATAAGAAGTGTTTTCCCTTTTAATAATCTCTATGCAATGCGAATTCGAGTTAATCGGATCAGTCGAATTATTTGATGTTGTTGCATCTTATGTTATATAATTACTACTTGAGGAGTTGCAGAATTTTTTTCATTGACCAGTTTTCTCTTCGATTATTATTTTTATTATAACAAAACCATGATCTTTCATATAAAAATTAATTTACTGATCCTCCATAGTTTTAAGTCCGTCTTGCTTTGATGGAATGGCTGGAGTATAATTTTGTTTCCATTTGCGAATGGAACATGGTTTTTGGGATCTTTGTTTCGTGTGTAATAATTTGCCGTCAACATGTCCTTATAAGTCCGTGCGGCTATTGAATACATACATGGGGAAAGATCAGGTTAAAATTCATAAAAGAGGCTCAAATATTTGAAATTTAAAATGAATAATAAACAATGTAAAAAGTTAGTTAAATATAGTACTAACTTTTACATTGTTTATTATTCATTTTTTTACTAACTTTATTATTCATTCTATAAATCAAAGAAATGACACAAGAGATTCTAGAATAAGATAAAGTTTTTTTTTTCTAGGCTAATTTGTTATTTTAACATCTATTTTTGAGTAATTCAGTTTCGTGATGCATATACACTACTAAAAATTAGGCCAAAATCGGCCGCGGCAGACCGACTCATTCGAAAAACCGACCGAAAACTCGACCGAAGTCGGTCGATTTTTCAATAAATTTTCTTTTCTATATTTTTACGACACCGATCGAATTTGGCGCCAAAATGGGAAAAATTGTTTTCGCATCCCGAAAAATTTATTTTTCATACCGACCAACTTAGGTCAATTTTTTATTTAAAATCAATATTCAGAAAATCCGATCAATTTCTGTTGGTAATTTTATTTTATTTAACAAAATCGACCGAAATCGGTCAATTATTTTTGCAGAAAAATATAATTAAAGAGTATAAATCAAATAAGAAAAAATATTAAATCAAAAAGCACCAATGGTCTAGTGGTATAATAGTATCCTGCCACAGTACAAACCCTCGGTTCGATTCCAAGATGGTATATTTTTTAATTACATAATTTACCGAATGAAGTCGGTCGTTTTTTTTTTTGTTTTTTTTTGCCCGGTTGTGAAATTTTAGTTGATCGACCGAAATCAGTCGGTCATGAAGTCGGTCAATTGGCTTTACTGATCGGATGATTACCGATTGCCACGAATCGATCGACTTTCAGTCAATTTTTGCCAATTACCAACCAACATCGGTCAGTTTTTACCATATTTTTAGTAGTGATAAACCTATTAAAAGAGGAAGTACTCTTTATGCTAGAGGTTTCGTCATTTCCAATGCTCGAATTCGAAACCTCTAGTTAATGTACGGTGAAGAAATCTCATTCATCTCACCGTACTTTTAGTGATTATACTAAAATAACCGGTCCTTGTGCTGTAATATAATAACATGCACCCGTGGTTAATGACTTAATGCACCTTAATTATATTTGAGTTGATTGCGCTCAAGAGTAAAAGGCTTCGTTACTCGCTAACTTTATATAACATGTTTCCATAACAAAAAAGTTTGGTTCTAAAGAACGACATTATTAGAATTTGCCCCGATCTTTAAGATCCTATTTCTAACTCTCAACTTTCATATAATGTTCTTAATATCATAGAGTTTATACTTTTTCAACTATATTTTCATTTCTAGATGTAAAGGTAGAGGCATCTTATTGCGTGCTTTTGTGGAGTTTCTTATAGTCATAGAGTTGAGAGACTTCTAATAATGTCAATTTTTTTTCCATTTGGTGATTGACGAATGGTATTTACATGCGTGTCAATTGTTTCGCAAAATATCTTTCGTTAAGGACGAGGTATAGAGTTTAACGTCATGTTTTAGTGCTCTCCAACTGGCAATAATACGATTTACTCCTCACAATAAATATACTTTCCCGTTCATAAATTTTTCTTTTCCACTTATTTAAAAAGGAAAATTTTAATTTAAAACTATCACTATTAAACCAAAACTCAAGGGGAAAAGAAGTGAAAGAAATTTGTAAAAGGAAGAAAAAGAACAATTTATATAATGTGGGATCATTCATATACACTTGCCAGTTTGCAAATCGTCTCGTAATTATCTTTCATTCTAGTGGAACTTCAACTAAACTCTAATAGATGTATAACTTAAGGTAGTTTTAAACCATAAACAAAAGTAGACGGATAAATATAAACTTTTTTTCCTTGAAATGAACTCAAGCTCCACTATAACTAAGGGCAAATACGAGACGATTTACTAACGGCAAGTGAATGAGTAATCTCAAAATATTACATAAGGGGTAAGTTAAAATACTTCATATAGTAAAAGAATTATGTCCTAGAAAATTCTTTCTTTAATTTTTCAATTATGTTAGAAAAACTATAAAATTTACGTGTCATATAAAAGTCTCGAGTACGTACAACCTTTTGTAATAGCGCGTAGGTAGTTTATCATCTACTATTGTTTTCTTTAAATGGACCAAACCCCCTCAGTAGTAGAAGTATATTATTTTAAGCCACCCACACCCCCGCTTGTCTAAACCCACCCCACCCCACCCCCCTTATTCTCTCTAACGCAGCGAAAGAGAAAAAAAGAAAAAATAGTCTCACATTTTTCCTCTATTTTGCCCCTCTTTTTCTTCGAATTCAACCCACCCCTAACACCATGAACCATACTCTATAGGTACAACTTCACCCTTTAAGCTTTTTGCTATGTTATATACACGTTGTTACATGATGTTCTTTGAATATGTTTTTGTGTGTGTGTGTGTGTGTGTGTTTTGTTGCTTAAAATAGTTTTTTTCCTTAGTTTTATGTTCACGTTTTCTTTGTTTTACATCTATAACTTGTAGACCCATTTCATCTTTCACGTTCCTTTTTGCTTCTGAGTAGGTTTCTTGAATTATTTTGCTCACTTGTTTTTATGTTATGTGTGTGTGTGTATTTGGGGTATGGTTTTCTTGGTATTTTTAGATGCCTTTGTTTTTGCTTGTAAAACACGATTTGGGTACTGGGTTTTCTGCAAGTTTTCAACTTGTTATGTTGTTTTGATTTTATTTAAGGATCGTCATTTGGGATTTCTTTAGTAAAGGTGATAAAGATTCGTACTTTTTCTGCATTGTACTTTTGTTTGTTTCTGTAATACCTCTTTCTCAGTTTGAGTTTTGATAAGAATGCTTTTGAATGTGCTTCTTTTGTTTTTATTCTGTTTTGAATTTGGGGTTTGTTGTGTTTAAGGATTTATGTGGAACGTTTGTTTCAAAGGTTTGTGTTTATCTGAGATGAATTATTTGCGTTTGTTGCTAATATTGGAGTTAGTTTTTGTTAGAAAAATGGATCTGGGGTTTGATGTTACAAGTTATATCACTCTGTTTATCTTCATTTCTTCTGATTATATATTTTCCTTTCAAAATAAGTCTTTAATTGTTGGTTTATTCTGTATGAAAGTTGAGTTGGTCTGCTGTTCTAGTTTTGAGCCTCTTGCTGACTTTTTTCTTAAAAAAATTATTATTTTTATTAAATTTAATGCACAAGTGTTCTTTGATTTCTGAAGGAATCCCTTTTTAAGTTTTGAGTTCTATTTATATTCCTTTTAAACAACATTCTGTAAGTTATCTTGCATTAGACTTGCCTTTGCCTTCTCTGAATGGCATTTTAGTTGAGTTAACTTGATTATTCATCAATTTTTTTTATTAATTAGTTTTTTCTATACTTAAATTTCAATCTATCTGTAATTTCAGGCAAGAAATCGACGGATAAGGGGCATCGTGATGTTAACAGAAGACTATGAAGAAGACAGATGACAGTCGAACTCATTGAGTTTCTGGATTAGGTACTTCTTGTTCTTGGCATATTTGAGCGAGGAATTTCGAAAGGACTTTGCTCTGTATTTTACATTAGATCGGGAAGTGTTGACGTTTCATTGCCATCTATGGTGAGTAGTTTTCGTTTAAACTCTTTTGCTTTACACGCCATTCTAACTGTTTTGTGCTTGCATCCCTAAATTGAACTATCTAGATGCTTTTATCAAAAGGTACATTTTGTACAAGCAACAAAACAGATTCAGTATATTTGCTTTTTTACTTGGAATTGCTAGTTCAAGCATTCTTATTGTTCTGACTAGATTATTGATCCCGTTCAATCAGACATCATTGGACTTTAATACGCTGGCAAAAGATATTTTTAGCTTCATAGTTGTATCTCGTGAAAAAATCTCGAGTGGCTCTCTCTCCTGCAGATGGATGCATTTGAGCTGAATGGAGATTACATGAATGGTGTGTCTGCGGATCAGTTGCTTTCGTCGGAGTCTTGTGATAGGAGTGGCGTGCTTGGAGAGCCAGAGATACCTCCTCGAACTGGGAACCAGTATCAGGTTGAAATTCCACCTCTGCAGGGAGACTGCATTTCATATGCAAAAAATCAGGAGAATGGAGCTGATATTTCCTGGTATTTTATGGTGGGATTGCCAATACCGCTAATGTGGGTCAACCAGGGAGTTCTATCAAGAAATGCATCTAATGAAGATAGTGCACCCTCAGAACCTGAAAGTACCAGATTAACCAACATGCATTCAGAAGATGACAATATCACAGTAAAAAATGAGCCATCAGACACGGTTTTGCACAATAAGGTGACATCAGCAAATCTATCTTCCGAAAAGAAACTACAGGAAAATAGGGGCCTGCGGTATTGTTTAGTACCCGGCATAGTCCTAGATTTTTGGACTGATATTGAAAAGGCAAGTTTCCTTCTAGGTCTGTACATCTTTGAGAAGAACTTTGTACATGTTAAGAGGTTTGTTGAAACTAAAACAAGTGGTGACATCTTGTCATTTTATTATGGGGAGTTTTATGGATCCCATGAGTACCGTAGATGGTCAGAATGTCGAAAAGTGAGAAGCAAAAGGAGTGTGTATGGTCAAAAGTTGTTCGTCGGATCGAGGCAACAGGAGCTGTTATCTCGTCTACTTCCCCGCGTTTCAGAGGAAAACCGAAAGGCTTTAACAGAGGTATTCAAACAAGCTAGATTTACCATATCCGGTGTTTTATCATGTTTATGTCCTCTTCTAAGTAATTCGGCCTGGTTAGATGTGTTTTCTGATTTATCACTGTTTTTTTTTACATTTTCTGGGTTGTTGATCAATGTTAGGGCCCAATATCTCAATAGCACCTTTGTCTAAAGCTTCGAAGGAGACTTCTTAGTTGATTTAGATGCTTAATATTTTCTAGAATAGTTGCATTCCAAAATGTATGTGTTAGTTAGTTATTATCCAACATTGGTATTCTAGGTTTTAGAATTTTTCTGCAATTCATTTGTCCTATGAAAAGCTATGAGCCTATCATTGGCATGCATCAGGCTTCGTATGTGCATCAGTTTCTAGTTGTCTGGCACAAATGTGCATTTTTCTAAAAATCTGTTCTAGATGTAGGGAAAAGAGGAAGTGTTGCTATTAGGTTATTCTGAGCAACCAAAAAAAAAACAAAGAAAGGTTATTCTGAGGGATAACCAGGCGATTTCTTGATCGACAGAACATGTGCATGAACTGTTAAGGTATTACTAGAATGGATTTTGTGTGAACTTACACTTGAAACCACGTACCATCAAAGTCTGCAAATTGCAAACTTCTCTGGTTATCTATCTGTCTGATTATGTGGATAGGCTTCTGTTAGATGTTTTATAACTTGTGATGTGAAGAGTGACATCAATGGTAAGTTTTTGGGCAATGTTACTTCTTGTGCCTTGCAGTTTTTTCGGTTGAATTACCGCTACTGCACGAAGAAAATTATGTCTTCAGACAACATTGTTAATTTGTGACTGTTTCAGTCTCCTGTGACATTTTAGTAGGTTAGGTTTCATTTCTAATTTGGTACTCATGCAGCGCACCCCTTTCTGCTTATAAATACTGTAGTTAATCTGATTGCTTGGCAGGTCTCCAAGGCATTTGGTGAAGGAAAGATATTGTTGGAAGAGTATGTGTTCTCGTTAAAGGCTATGGTTGGGGTAAACATGCTCATAGAAGCAGTTGGAATCGGCAAAGATAAATACGATCTTACATGTGTGGCCTTGGAACCTTCAAAGTCCAATCATGCTATACGCTCGGAACTCCCAGCTGGCAAAGCATGCTCCTCTCTTACAACCAACGAAGTAGTTAAGTTTCTAACTGGAGATTACCGACTTAGTAAAGCTCGATCCAATGATCTATTCTGGGAAGCTGTTTGGCCCCGTCTATTAGCAAGAGGTTGGCACTCAGAGCAGCCTAAAAACTTGAACTACGCTGCTAATCCCAAGAATGCGTTGGTTTTTCTCATGCCTGGTGTTAAGAAGTTTTCCAGGAGATTAATCAAAGGGATCCATTATTTTGATTCAGTTACAGATGTATTGGGTAAAGTTGCTTCTGATCCAAAGCTTCTAGAGCTTGGCGTCGAAGATGAATGTACCAAAGGTAAAGAAGGTGGTGATTGGACAGATGAAACAAAGTTAGAACAAGATGATCTTCCAACTAGACAACGTCCTTGTTATCTTCAACCTAGAACTCCTAATCGATGTACAGATGTTATGAAGTTTACAGTTGTAGATACAAGTCTCTCTGATGGTAAACCCTATAAAGTGAGAGAGTTGAGAAGTCTTCCGGTGGAAATCTCAAGCAAATTGTCTTTGGGAAGCCACGCCGAAGGGAGTGAAGAGGAATTGTCTACTGATGAATCAGACTCCGTTGGTACTAATAAAGCTAAGACGGATCATCATAATTCCTCGAGGATTTTCTCCAATGGAGAAACGCATTCTGATGAGAAGGGTTTCGAAATCAGTGCTTCAAGCAAGAAGTTTCAGGAAGTTCCACATCCTGCTGCTTCTACTGTACCGGTGAATGCTTGGAAGAACACCAAAAACATCTGTGAAGACAAGCAGCCAAGAAAAGCGATAAAAGCCCACTCGAACAAGAGATTAAAAGAAAACAATGTGCACTTTGTAGCTCCCATTGCCCAGAAGCGTAGGAGACTAACGGCTTGTAGTCGTGGAGAGACAAATAGTAGTGTCATGGTAAATTCTTTGATGGTTCCAGGAAGGGAACAAGAAGTGCGTCACACCTCAAGCAGCAATGACCTATCGCTGAACAACATTCAGATAGCTTCGTCTGAGGATAAGGTGTCATCAAGCAGTTCGTCAAAGAGCAGTCCTTCTCAAAGTGCCGAATGTGCTTCTGCTGATCATCATGTGTTAAAGCTTCCTGAAGAGGAACCTCAAACTAGGGCAATGATTGACCTTAATGAACCTCAAGTTCCCCCTGATTCGGAATATGAGTTTCTGATGCCAGCATTGACGGAAGACCAAAGTGGTAACACGAAGAGGCCTGATGATGTTTCTGGTGAGTTGAAGACATCGACACAGAGTGCTAGTATGGAGCAGCAGCAACCTAGCTTGAACTCACGTAGGCATGGCACCAGAAATCGGCCTCCAACCACGAGAGCACTTGAAGCTTTGGCAAATGGTTTCTTGACTGTGCATAGTAGGCGGCAAAAGAATAAAGAAGGTGGTTCCAGAGGGAAGTTGACATCTTCCAGGAGCTCGCAACAAACCCCTGGTGGCATGAAGACTGACTTTAGCAATAGCACAGTGGTTTCCCAAATGGAAGAAGGTGAAGCTGCTGTATCTAAGGCGGGTGAGAGCAACATGTTTGGCAAAATCCAGCATCCACTTGAGGAGAGTGGGACAACAATCTCAGGTCCATAAATTGGCAAGATGACTAAACAAGTGCTTCAATGTGTCACTCATTCTGTGCTCTAGCTGCACGTGCCATTGATGTCTGTTAACTATCCCTGAAACGAGGGATCTTCGCTGTCAGCTGTGACACCAGATGGCTGTAAAGGGGCGTTGCTCGATCACAAATTTCACCAGTAAAAAATGTATATGCAGCAGGGGGGTTGTGATATTCAGCAATAGCAAAAGGGGGAGAGAAATACTGTTCTTCAGGTTCAAAAGAAGAGGTTTGATTGATTTGATTGCAGTTGCAGCATCACAGAAACGAGCAAGACTACTCAGCAATTTCATGCACATTTGTTGGAACTAGGACACAAGTGATTAGTGTTGTCCCTTTAATTGAGATTGTAGATATCTTAGTGATTACTACTAATATTTAGTCCATAGGCCATTAGAACTTCATTTACCTCCTCTATATTTTCAGTTGGTTTTTTTTTTTTCCTAATCTTTTTAATGAACTTTTCTCAAGACGAGCAGCACATTCGTTTTGGTTATACATACAAAGCGATAAACCACCTATTTGTAAACTGTAGTTTGTAAAAGGGGCTTTATTAGTATAGTTAGTGCCTAGTACTTATATCCATCTCTAATCCTATCTCCTAAGATTCTTTTATTAAAAGAATCACTTTTGCCAGAGTAGAGTAGCAGTCTAATGGTTGCAACTTTACATTCTACTTTCGGTTATTGGGGGATTCAACTATCTACTGTGTTAATGCATGTCCAGAATTAAGCTAAAAAAAAAATTTAACCTAACAAGTTGAACTTAAGTAGTTTTTTGTAAAGGTAAATATCTCAACAAAAAAAGTGTAACGTCTCAACCCCTTACTTTAGGAGATCATTTAATTTTTTTCTCTTATTCAGGGTTTCTGTATGGGTCAGAATCTGACCTCACGGTAATTAACGGAGTTAATCTCCTCTTGAGCTAATCCATAATTAATAAGTGGTACGGCCACTTATTTATAAGAGGATTCGACTCTTGTCCGATTGAATCTACGAGGGCACGGCCCATTCATTCCCCCACGGGGACGGAACCTCAGCGTGGCCACGGCCATTTATTGCCAGCTCACGAAGCTCACATCTATAAATACTAAGAGTGGAAGCCCTAGAAAGGGGGCTGCTTCTTCACCACTAGTGAGAGGAGAGAGAATCGAGAAAATATACCCCTCTTATGGGAAAAGAAAACACCATTGTAAGGTTCTGAACCTCTCCATGGAGAGGCAGACCAAACAAATATTATCAATAAAGGTTTCTAATGCTTCTACCCTTATTCCTGAGTACTTATTTTCATTTCTTTCATTGGGTCCAACGGATTATTACGATTTGCTATGATTATCCCGTGATTTATTTATATTGTTTTATACTCGTAAGTTTTGTAATAACTTTTGAGCAAACAATTTGGCGCCGTCTGTGGGGATTTCATAGCAAAATCGTGTAGTTCTTCCCTGGACCCAAAAGGAAAGAAGCGCCAAACTCGAAGGGGAGCTCGAAGATCTCAAATCAAGATCTAAGTCTTCTCCCTCTCTCCAATCTCAGATAGTGCAAACAAGAAGAAAGGGTCCCCTCCTTTCCTAAGGGAAGGTCTCTACAAGGTATACGAGCTCCGGTCAGAAACCGGCACGGAGATATCTTGAGCCGAGAGTCGCCTCAAGACAGCCTATACACCCTGGTTGGGAAGACAATGGATAAGCCGCTCAAGGCCTCGAATCCAAAACGAGTTTCAGCACTCAATACCCACAATATGGGACTCAGGCCACGAGCCTTCGTAATCAAAATCGACCAAGTTCAACTACGGTTGAACAGGGACTCAGGCTATGCGCCTTCACCAACAAATTCAACTACGGTTGAACCAAGTCAGGCTATGCGCCTTCACAAACAAGTTCAACTACGGTTGAACCGGGACTCAGGCTACGCGCCTTCGCCAACAAAGTTCAACTACGGTTGAACCAAGTCAGGTTATGCGCCTTAACAAACAAATTCAACTACGGTTGAACCAAGTCAGGCTATGCGCCTCCACAAAAAAAGTTCAACTACGGTTGAACCGGGACTCAGACTACACGCCTTCGCCAACAAGTTCAACTACGGTTGAACCAACTCAGGCTACGTGCCTTCGCCAACAAGTTCAACTACGGTTGACCGGTACTCAGGCTACGCGCCTTCGCCAACAAGTTCAACTACGGTTAAACCGGGACNGCGGAAATATTATTATTTTCCAACAACGTGGTATCAGAGCCATGGCGAATAATAGTCCGTTGTCTTTTCAGTATCCCCGTCTCACAAAAGATAATTATGAGAAATGGTGTCTACGTATGAAAGCCATTCTTGGCTCTCAGGATGTGTGGGAAATCGTAGATAGAGGGTATGCAAAACCCAATAATGAGGAAGCTCTGCCTCAAAAATTAAAAAAGATGTCTTGGCAAAGACAAGGAAGAAGGATCAACAAGCCCCCACGCTCATCCACCAATGTTTGGATGATGCCATGTTTGAGAAGGTGGCAGATGCTACCACCTCAAAGGAAGCTTGGGAGATTTTACAAAATTCTCTTCAAGGAGTAGACAAGGTGAGGAAGGTAAAACTTCAAACTCTAAGGGCTGATTTTGAAGTTTTAAAAATGAAAGAATCCGAATGCATTTCGGATTATTGTTCAAAAGTGAAGACCGTTGTGAATCAATTAAGAAGATACGGGGAGGACATAGAAGATGTCCGTGTGGTAGAAAAGATCCTTCGCACCTTTACACCTAAATTTGATTTTGTGGTGTGTGCTATTGCCCGTTGCAATAGGTAGTTCAACCGTTGCAATATCTTAAAGAAATCGTTGCCATTTCTATTATACCTGTAACGGTTTTGATAGATATAGTAACGGTTTATGGCCGTTGCATTTAACTTATGGTAACGGTTATTAACCGTTGCAATTGATAAGAATAATCGTTCAACAGGAAGAG